AAAGAATAAAATACCCATAAATCAACGCATTCATTATCAACATGGATAAATTACACTTACCTCCCCTAAGGTTTTGAACATATATTATTAAATATCCATATATATATATATATATATATTAGCATTATTTAATAAAAAATGGCCGGTCGACCACCCGGTTGTCCCGGGATAGATTTGGTGAAGATGAACCGTTGGAGCCTGAAGTATCAAATTCAGGAAATGACCATTTTTGAACTCAAAATTGGTGAAATTTTTGATTCACGGTTGGAGATGCTCTAAATAGTTAAGACATTGTTAAAACATTTAATGGAAAAAAATTAATTTACATTGATAAAATACTTAAAAATAAACAATCTCTCTCTAATCAATGTTAGATAATGTCCTAATAATTTAATATAAGACTTGTTTCACACATAAACAATGTAAAATTTATCATTTTAAATAATGCATTTATTATTTGAATTTTTTTCAAAGTTGAAATAAATGGATTTATTATTATTTCTTTCCGGTAATTTGCATTACTTATTTATTCATATGTAAAAAAAAAATTATTATTTTATCTTTTCTCAATCATATATTATTCTTAAATTTTAATTTTTATCTTTGAATCATTAAACTTCTATAATAAAAAAACACAAATTAATATTTCTTACATAATTAAAAAAAATTAAAAATAAATATAGGAATAAAAAAAATCTTATCTTTACTGAGGTTTCTAATAATTAAATCAAACTCATTTATTATCAATAGTAATCTTAATCTTAAATGCACTAAATTTAATTTGTCCTATTAAATATATATGAAATTATAATTTATTTTTTATAACTTTTTCAAAATATAAATGTAATTTCTTGACTCTATTTCTTTCCACAACAAGTTTTTGAGCTTTTATAAACAAAAAGTAAAATAAAAATTTTACCATTAATAAAGGTGAGAAATTAATTTTAAGATTTAATTTACTAAAAATAGTTTAAATGAGATAGATAAAGATGGAGAAAAAGATTTTAAGTATCATATATAAAAAATTAATTAAGTATTTTATTATTCTCAAATAATTTGTGCATTTAAGTAAAGATTCATTTTAATTTTAAGTGTAAGAAATGATAAATTGTTTGAATTGTTCATTAAACTCAAATGATTTATTGATCCTTCCTTCCCTACCAACTAATTTTAATTTATTGTGAGACAATTAGATTTTTTTTACTTCTATATTTATTTTTTAATTTTTTTTAGTCATGTAAGAAATATTAACTTGCATTTTTTTTTTTAAAAAATGTGCATCAACTAGAAGTTTAATGACTTAAAGATAAAAATTAAAATTTGATTATAATATTCGCTTCGTCTGGGAAGTTGGTTTAGAGGTTTTTTTGACTAAAATAGCCACAAAAAACAAAATAGATTTTTTAGACCAATAAGACAAAATATCACATCTAACCCATTATCATTACATTATTTCTCTCACAAAAAAGTCAAAAAAGTCAAAAAAATCAAAAGTCATTTCCAAACTAGACTTTTTAGTCCCAGGCTAAAATAGCCAAAAAAGTTAAAAAGCCAAAAAACCAGCCCATTTCCCAAACGGAGCCATTATGATTGACAAAAAGATAATTTTAGAGAGATTTGTTTAATTTTAAGTATTTTAGAAATGAAAATTATGGTTTTTTTTTTTCATTAAATGATTTGATAATGTCTTAATAATTTAAGGGTTTTTAATATTGCATGAAATTCAACAATTTTATTAAATAATGCTAAAATATGTATGAGTTTTTTTTGTAATATATATGCAAAACCTCAAGAGATCTGAGTGGAATTTATTATTTGAATATATAAGGTAACTAATGGACAATTTCATCATTTTTGATATCATAACCTATGACATCAACATGACATTAGTATGATATCAGTAAATTCTGTTAAATAACTTAACAATAGGGAAATTTTGATAATAATTTTAAAAGTAATAGAAGTTAGTGTAATTATTAAAATTATAGAGAAAGTTCTTGTAATTATCAAAAATATCAAGAGAGATAAGTGTAACAATCCTGCTGCATACCCCCAGTGGGGGTCGCACCCCCAGTGAGGTGTCGCGCCCCCACTGGCCGAAACTCAAAAAAAAAAAAAAGAAAAAGAAAACAGTTTTTTTTTTGTCCAATTATGGACTGCCACCTCACTGAGGATCGACCCCCAGTGGGTGTATGAGCCATTTTTCTAAGTGTAATTTACCCTTAAAATTATACAAAGACATAGTGAATTTTACAAATTTGCCCTCTTCCCCTTGCCCTCATGTCATCTCTTTTCATCCCTTTAATCACTAGAAACTTCTTTTCACACGTCTTCATTCTCTCGTAGCCTTGCCTCAACTTCTCTAGTTCTTTTCCCATGTAGTCCCTTTTTCGTTATAATTAGGGCAAATTACATATACCCTCTCGAAATTTAGTAAAATTATAGATATTTTTTTAAGATTTGAGAAATTACAAATATTTCCTAAAAGTTATATTTTCATAACAAATTAGGAGACAATTTATTATAAAAATATAAATCTCATAGAATAATTTATTATAAAAACATAAACCTCAAAGGATATTTGTAATTTTTGTAATGTGAAGAGTATTGTAATTTAGTTGAACTTCAAAAGAGATATATGTAATTTGCCCATATAATTATTGTGGCAATCCAATCTTTTCTTCAGAACATCGCAAGACCCTAGCCCATCTCTAGGCCACCACGACATCCCACCTCACTCCCGGAGCTCTAGATCCTCAATTCTTCTTTTTGCTGCCATCGCGATACCCCAAGTTCTCTCATAGAATATAAAATCTTCAATCCTCTCATTCTCTAACATCGCAATCTCACCCTTTTTTAATCTTTATTTCTTTCATCGCGATTGCGGTCTTTGTTGCAACGTTAGCAAATACGTAAGGGGCTATGATGTGAAAGAGACTAAGACGAGCGAAGTAGTGGAAGGAGGGTTGGAGGGAAAGCGGTGATGGCGTCAGGGAAGTGGCAAGGGTTGACAATGGGAAGTAGAGATTGAGAGAGGGTCGTCGACTAGAAATGATAAGAATTAGGTAGTGAATGATTAGGAAAAATGGGTAAGAGTGGCTGGAAACTGGGAAGATTGAATGAATAATGAAATGTGGTTGGAGAAGTTGGGGAAGAAGAAAGAAGAAGAGAGAGAATCATGCAGAAAGAAAGAAAGAGGGCTAAAATATAATAATAATTAGGAAAAACTCTATCCATACATACAATTTATAACCCCAAAAAAAAAAATAAATGAAAAGAATGACGTAATTATATTATTATTATAAATAAAAGTCATCTTTATAAATACATAAAGATTTTATTTTAAAATGAAACATTATTCTTAAGGCATATCATTATATATGAAAATGTGTAAGTTTTCTATTTGTATATCACTATTTCAATAATTATTAATTTTAATCACTATTTAATTTCCATATATTGTACTTGATTTTGATTCTTTCACATTTTTACAATTGTTTCAACTCGGTTGCAGCTCTCTTTCAAATTAAAAAAATTAAAATATAAATTATCCTTTGTAATTGTAAAAATTACAAATATCCTTATTTCTTTCATCGCGATTGCGGTCTTTGTTGCAACGTTAGCAAATACGTAAGGGGCTATGATGTGAAAGAGACTAAGACGAGCGAAGTAGTGGAAGGAGGGTTGGAGGGAAAGCGGTGATGGCGTCAGGGAAGTGGCAGGGGTTGACATTGGGAAGTAAAGATTGAGAGAGGGTCGTCGACTAGAAATGATAAGAATTAGGTAGTGAATGATTAGGAAAAATGGGTAAGAGTGGCTGGAAACTGGGAAGATTGAATGAATAATGAAATGTGGTTGGAGAAGTTGGGGAAGAAGACAGAAGAAGAGAGAGAATCATGCAGAAAGAAAGAAAGAGGGCTAAAACATAATAATAATTAGGAAAAACTCTGTCCATACATACAATTTATAACCCCCCAAAAAAAAAAAAAATGAAAAGAATGATGTAATTATATTATTATTGTAAATAAAAGTCATCTTTATGAATACATAAAGATTTTATTTTAAAGTGAAATGTTATTCATAAAGCATATCATTATATCTAAAAATGTATAAATTTTCTATTTATATATCACTATTTCAGTAATTATTAGTTTTAATCACTATTTAATTTCCATATATTGTACTTGATTTTTATTCTTTCACATTTTTACAATTGTTTCAACTCGGTTGCAGCTCTCTTTCAAATTAAAAAAATTAAAATATAAATTATCCTTTGTAATTGTAAAAATTACAAATATCCATTGTTAAAAAATTTTATTTAATAAAATTAACAAAAAAAATAAATTTTTTAACTATTCACCTATATAATAATAAAATTATTTAAATTATTAATTAAAATATACTTTCAATAATAAAATTAAATTGACTATTCACACCTTAATACACGAAATGAAGACAGAGACAGCAAGAACTGAATTTTCACCATTCGTATATACAATATACTCGTCACATTCACATTCTCACTTATATCCACCGGTGGTGAATTCACCGCGTTTTGTCTTACAATAATACCCAATTCATTCACATATATATATGTGTTGACCTCTCTGTCTCTAGTCTCTACATCAATCCCTTTCTTTCTTTCCTTCTTTCTTTCTTTCTTTCTTTCTTCTTCTTCTTCTGCTTCTTCTTCAATCCAATGCAATCTCAATAGCCCAAATTTGTTTTCCAAAAACCCATCAAAACCCAGCAATGGTTCGGCCAATCACCACCGTCCTTTTCACCACTCTTTTTCTTCTGTGGCCGTTCCTTTGTCTTGGGATTCGCTCATTTCCCACCACCACCGACGCAATCTACACCTTCTCACGCTTCTCTGAAGCGCCGGACTACCGTAACAACGATGAGTGTCCTCTCTCCTCCAATAAGAGACCAGTATCGTCTCATTCACATATATATATGTGTTGACCTCTCTGTCTCTAGTCTCTACAACAATCCCTTTCTTTCTTTCTTTCTTTCTTTCTTTCTTCTTCTTCTTCTTCTTCTTCAATCCAATGCAATCTCACTAACCCAAATTTGTTTTCCAAAAACCCATCAAATCCCAGCAATGGTTCGGCCAATCACCACCGTCCTTTTCACCACTCTTCTTCTTCTGTGGCCGTTCCTTTGTCTTGGGATTCGCTCATTTCCCACCACCACCGACGCAATCTACACCTTCTCACGCTTCTCTGAAGCGCCGGACTACCGTAACAACGATGAGTGTCCTCTCTCCTCCAATAAGAGACCAGTATCGTCCTGCGACCAATCTCTCGTCCACGTGGCCATGACCCTCGACTCCGAATACCTCCGTGGCTCCATCGCCGCTGTGCACTCCATCCTCCGCCACGCCTCATGCCCACAACACCTTTTCTTCCACTTCATCGCCTCCGAGTTCGACCCGATGACTCCTCGGATCCTGACCCGACTCGTCCAATCCAGCTTCCCTTCTCTCAACTTCAAGGTCTATATCTTCAGAGAAGACGCCGTCATCAATCTCATCTCATCATCGATCCGCCAAGCCCTCGACAACCCGTTAAACTACGCCCGAAACTACCTCGGCGACCTGCTTGACCCGTGCGTAAAGCGGGTCATCTACCTCGACTCCGACCTCGTCCTCGTCGACGACATACACAAGCTCTGGAACATTACCCTGACAGGAAACCGGGTTATCGGAGCACCCGAATACTGCCACGCCAACTTCACCAAGTACTTCACCGACAATTTCTGGTCCGACCCGGATCTTCCCCGGGTATTCGGGTCGAGAAACCCATGCTATTTCAACACGGGTGTGATGGTGATGGACCTAGAGAAATGGAGATTGGAAAATTACACGAGAGAGATAGAGAAGTGGATGGAGGTGCAGAGGAAGAAAAGGATATACGAACTGGGTTCGTTGCCGCCATTCTTGCTGGTGTTTTCCGGCGACGTGGAGGCGGTGGATCACCGGTGGAACCAGCATGGGCTCGGCGGCGATAACCGGAGGGGGAATTGTAGGTCGTTGCATCCGGGTCCGGTGAGTTTGCTACATTGGAGTGGGAAAGGGAAGCCATGGGTTAGACTTGATATGAAGAAACCTTGTCCGTTGGATTATTTATGGGAACCGTATGATTTGTATAGATTGAAGCATTCGCATTATCAGCCGTTGGTTTTGTCTACTACGACCTCGAATTTGATTGGATACTCGAATTATTTCTTATGATTTATTTATTTTTTGAATTTTTACATGGTGATTCAGACATTCTTTCATAGGTGTGTACAGATTAAGCTGGGGAGTAATTAATTAATTATTATTATTTTCTTACGAAATTTTAATTAGTTTTGGGTTGGGGTTCATTGATTGGAACAATTGTTGGGTGATTGGAACAATACGGATTGAAAGTGGGAGAGGAATACGATGCGGCTTTACTCTTGTTTAACTTCTTTGCTTTATTGTTTCATAAAAAATTATTTTTTCACATAAATGACCCTTTTACCATCCTACTTTTTATTTATTTATTTTAAAACAAAAACATAGAAATGTTTAAATGCATCATTCGTTTTTATATCATTTTTATTTTTATTTTTGTTTTCAGATAAATTGTTTTTGAAAACATTTTTTTAAAAAAAAGTCAAATAAACAATGCTTTGCACTTCTGCTTTTGAATTAATGATTTGAGTAAAAATTTGCTGAAAAAAAAGATAAAAGCACTTTTGATATTTTATTCTCTTGGTGCAAAATATCCTTTCAAATCTTTCATCTAAATATAATTGTAAGATTGACATACGCATAAAAAGGGTATTTTTAATTTCTATTTTCATGATTCATTTTTTAGAAAATAATTTTTTTTTTGTTTTTCGTGTTTTTTATTTTTACTGAATTTTTTTAATTTTTAAATATACTTAACATAAAGATGAATAATTTAAATTATCCATTATTTTTAAGAGAAATATGATTTGATCATGTGACCATTCATATTTGATTAGTTTAATTTTTTGAATACATGTTTTGCTCATCCCACATTACAAGATAGATTGGGGTACACTAAAAGATAACTGGTTTAAATCACTGATGTGGATCACAAAATGGGTCCACTGAAGGTCAGCTGGACCTCTCTAGTTGGATGTCTTACTATAGAGAATCCAATCTCCATTTAAAATATGTGAATTGTGTAAAAAAATACATATAAATGTACAAAAATATGTGAAATGACTTGCTTTTGCTTTTATTTGCTGGGTGTGACTTTGAGTTGGCAACTTGCCAACTTTTGTTGCTTTAAAGTATTTTCTGGTTTTTGCACTTGCCTCAAGGTGTATACTGCTTTGCTGTTTTTGTTGTTCCTAATTTTGATGTTTTGTAAAGTCTCTTTGGACTTTCGTCTTCAGCATTAATAATTATTTTTTTTTTGCTGATAACGAATAAAAATAAAAATAAAAAATTGAATTTTAATTTTAATTTTAATGTTTTTTTAATTATTTAAACTTTAACTATACTTATTGAGCAGTGGTTAGTAGGATCAAACTAAAATAATAATAAAACAGGCATAAAAAAAAAGTTTAAAATGAAGATTTACTGGTGGAGCACATTGATGAAGTTATGATTGAATTGATGACAATCTCAATGATTAATATTCAAAGCTAAGATAATATGAATGAAGATTGGTAAGGAAGTGTTTGGAAAGTGTCCAGTTCATGAGGTCATTTTGCCTTGTTGCTTGGGTTTGGAAGCTTGGAAGTTGGTTTTAATCACTTTACAAAGTCTAAAGGCTTACGTATGCTTGCCTTGCACAATTTCTTTCATTTGAATAATAGCAACCACACGATACAGAATTGATACACAAAAATATATTAAGAAAATTGAGTGTGTGGTCAAGATTCATTTTAATTGTAAGACTCCCAATACACAAGTTAAATATAAATTATTCAATTATTTTTTGAATATATTTTTTTTATACCAATTCTATACATATATCTTTTATGTTTGAATAATTCTAGGTGTGGACAGCTTCAAGTGTTAACACGTGGAATGTTTCATAGACAAGTTGTTGGGTCTTTTTGGCCTTTTTTATTGACTTCAAATTGTGTTTCACATTTGGTGAATACACAAACGCACAATATGAGGTTGAATGAACTTCATTATTGATAAGGAATAGTGTAGCATATTCCTTTTTCAATAGCCACTTTAGACCCTATATGATAATAGTAAAATGTGTATAGAATTGATGTACAGAAATAAATCAATACAACAGAATGGATGATCCAAATTCAATCAAAATATTGTGAAAGATTATATTTAAAATGAATTTTGATCGCATAATAATTTTTTTTACGCTGTGTTTGATTAAGAGATTTGGGAAATGATTTAGAAAGAGAAATGAAAAACTAGATAATATGTAGGTATATTTTATTCACATTTCACTTACTTTTTTCTTTTTCTTTTCAAAATCTCTTCTCAAATTTCTTAACCAAATACAGCGTCAATGTATTTTTTGTAAACAATTCTGTGTAAGTATATCATTTTCATTGCTCATATCATAATCTCTTAAGACTTGGAGCATTCAATTTTCATGTGACTTTATGGGCATAAAAATTGGTTGGGGCATGAAAGTTTCACGGGTCATATAACCTGTTGGTTTGGAAATTGAATTGGTAAATATTGCATTCGAGAGGTGGCCACATCCTCTCTATTCCAAAGTTGCAATGGAAGATCTCCATTACATTATTTAAGAGCTTGTAATTATGGCAATCATTTAATTGAAATAATTTATGACAGTTATCATATTCTGAGGGCATTTTATTTATTTATTTTTTGTATCATCTACACCAACAAATAGAGGTGTTTGCTCTATATAATAGTATAGATATGCAACAATTGAAACAACAATATTAGTGAATTAGAAAAATGAATTAGGAACTTATAAAAATAGATTTCTTTGCAATGATCTTGTGTGGTAATCTAACAACTTATGTTTAAGCTAAAACAAAATTAGATCGTTTTAGGGAGTGTCATTTTAATGTCATTTTACTTCAATTTTAATTATAACTGTTGGATTATATGTTTTGTTACCATGTTTTGTTGTGATAAAAACTACAAGAAGATCAAAAATCATGGTAGAGAAACTGAACTTTAGAAAAATAGTCTGAAAAGTGATTAGAAAATGAAAAATGTGTGATTAGATTCATTTTTAATATACTTTATGTTACATTAAATTTGAATCCACACCATACACTATGTTTGTTCAACATTGTTTTTGGTGTCCTAGGTTTTTCGCATTTAAAATGGAAGTTGTATAGTTTTGTTTGGGATTGACTTTTTTTTCGTTTTTAATGAATTTTTTTTAAAAAAAATTATTTTATTTTTTGATCCATCTAGTCAAGTAAAACCTGGAAGTATACAATTTTTATTTTATTTTTTAAAATTTTTTCTCTAGTGTACACCTTTTTTTTTTTTTTTTTACATCTCAGATCCTTTCGGAAAGTAAAATTTTTTTGACATAAATTAAAAAAATCTAAGAATGAAAGTTTGAAAAAAAAAATGTCCTTTTTAGTTGGATGTCAAACCAAGTTCTCGTGTGCTCACATGGCTTTGATATGCGTCTATGATTATCCTGTATGAGTACTGAATACGTATTTGCTACTAATTCGTATACCAGTATTACAATGCTCGTTCAAGGAATCATGGTGTAGATGAAAATATATCCAATACTTTTTAAAGAACTTTTAAATGTCGACTACAATTCAAGTTAGGGTTAGACATTCATCAGGTTGGGCCAAGTTTGGGTTGAGCCGGCACTATATAATAAGAAATTTTGTATTTATTGAAGTCCGGCCCGACCTTAACATTAGGTCTATATATTTTTCTAAGTCTAGCCCAAAAAATAATTATAAATCACAAATTTACCATCAGACTATATGTTAAAAAAATTAAAATATTCCGTAATTAAATTTAATCACATGTTATATTTCTTAAATAAATATACTGACATTATAAATTGAAAGATTTTATGTATAAATTAAAGATTTTTTAAATAAATTCAATTACACATCACCACAAATATAAGTTTCAATGAAATCAATAAAGATAAAGTATAGATCCTAACAAAAAATATATATTTTAAAATATTATAATTAATTGATCAATTTAATAGCGGGTCAGACTGGTTTGGAAGTATAAATCCCAACCTTAACCCATTAATATATCGGGTTAAAAATATTAACATAGTCCGATCCTATAGGTTAAAATAACATTTCTAAATCCTAAAACAAATAGGACTAGGTTGGATTAAGTGGGCCAGCGGGCAATAACCACTCCTAATTCACGTACAACATAAATATGAATTGGGCACTTTTTTGAATATGCTGAGATATAGATATATACTTTTTAAAAGAATATTGGAGTATTAGAATAAATATGTTGCATTTCTTTTTAGAAATTCACAAAAATAAAAATTATTTATGTAAATATATGAAAATTATAGAATACTTCCGGAATATTACGTGTCTGTATTCTTTAGCTAATCATCATTCATCATGCCGGCTTATATTTTTTAATCACCCAACACAATATCTCACATATCCATATTTTCTATCAATCACAATATTTGTTCATAATTATATATCAAAATATTTTTTACCTTACATCTATATATTTTATGTCTAATTCATCTGTACATGTAACACAACTAGCTAGTTAAGAAAACTTATTCATGTTAGAAATATAAAACGAGAATCCCCCTATTTTACAAGCAAGGGATGGCTTGTCATCTAGTGGATCCATGAGCCACACCCCCTTTACGTACTATGTTACTATAGGATGACTGAAGTCTCACTCTGGTTGGTTCTAGGGAAAATATACCAGAGAAAGGACATGAAAAAGAGAATGAATAAGTTCCAAAGTCACTTTGCATCCAAGGTATATGTTAAGTGGTATGAATCACAGTATTGAATACTAATTGCTCGGCTATGGATTCACAATATTATAGTTATGTTATGTTATCGTAATATTATATATTTATAGTTGAAATAAAGACATGGCTATTTTAATCTTATATTATCTCAAATAAAAAAATATTGACAATTACCAATATATATATATTTACACTATGTTTTGTTGGGAGGTTTAGGGACGGATGCAGAAAGGGAGTGATTAGATTCGAAAGAGAAAAAGTATGTGAAATATAGGTATGTTTTATTCATATTTCACTTATTTTTTTCATTTTTTTTTCTAAATCTTTCCTCAAATCGCTCAATCAAACACAACATTAGAGAAACACATTTAAAAGCATGAAGAATCTTTTTTCCAATTGCTTTAATAATGGAAAGTGAAAAAAATATTGCAAAAATATGGAATCTTAAATTTTATTTTCGTTTTTACCCTCTCTCTTATGCCTCCACCTTAAATATTGTGTGTAAAAATTTTACAAGAATAATCTTTCTTAACATTAAGGTTAAATATCCAAGCACCAACCAAAATGGAGCCCCAGTTTAAATGCTTGGTTGAAACTTGTTTTCTTGACTTTTAATCATGAGACATTCTGTTTCATTAACCCCTTCATATGATTCATTCTTGTAAACTAAAAAAAAAAAAAGAAAAAAAAGAAAGAAATGTTAACTAAAGTCGAAGTCTGATTACGTAATTTCCAACACAAATATATAGCCGTCGGGAAGCCAGTTGATTTGTCAAGAGAAAATTAATAAAAATAAAACACTTAAATGCACAAGCATTCTAATTATTTTTCACACTTCAAAAATAATGAAAAATAAGTGAAAAAAAAAGTTTAGGTCTATCCAAAATTTAAATATGAATTTGATCATTATGTTTAGGTCGGTGGGGTGCACTATGGGTATTGTTTCACTAATCTGAACTGTTCATTTTGTAAAATTTTTCATATATGCTATCTATGAAAAGAATTAAATTAATCTAATAATTATAGTATTTTCATTTCATCACATTTGTCTTAAAAAAAAAAAAAAAAAAACTATATTCACATGTCTTATCTACTAAACACATGCGTTTTATTAATGGTCTCCATTGTCATGAATGCAACTACTTTAACATTATTTATAGGACAAAGTATGTAATAAATTTTAAAGCTACCCTTGCATTATTTTCTGTAATCCCATCATTGTATGTTCATATTTTAGAGAAAAAAAAAAAAAAAACGCACAAAAAACTAAAGCACCAAAGTGAATTTCAGATGAAATTATAAGGATTATCGATATAATTTATCTAATTTTCTTTATTAAGTGAGAATTGCTAAAATAGCTACGTGAGTTGAATGCAGGAACAAAATCAAAATTTCATCATTGAAGGGATCATAAGATGAATATTTTTTTTTAATCATATACCTAGGCACACATATATGTACAATATAATATATAAATTATATAAACACACAAAAAAAATTAAAACACCATGGAACTAATCTCTAATAGAATAAAGAAGTTTTTTTAGTGGAAAATAAAAAGAGAATACAAGATGAAAAAACATAAAAAATATATTTTTTTATATTGGAGCCATTTTATGTATAAAATGAGATATATATTTTTAAAAATACTGTGACAAACACTATTGTTAGATAAGCAAAGGGAGCCATGACCCCTGGTAGTCTTCTCATAATTCGATCCCTGATTGTATGTAATTTCTTTTTGTCCAAAATACTATTATTAATTAACGTAGGAATCATATTAAAACATATTAAAAATATAATATTTAAATTAATAAAATTAAAATTACAAAAACCAAAGTAAAATTTTACTGAAACTAGTGGGACTAACAGTGCAATATCCCTGTGGTGCGCCAATCCTTGTCTCAAACTTATATCGAACTTAAATTTAGGTAAAAATTACTCAAACATTCTAACTCCTTACTTCAAACTTATACAAAATTGAGTTCAATTATGACGCAATTTAAGGTAGAGTCAATTGTTTTCTCAAAATCACCCAGACTAGTGCAACTTTTACTTAAATTTGTGCTTAAATTTAAATTTGTTCGTTGCCATGGATCATATCAAATAAAATTTATAAATGAATTTTAGTAAAATTTTAAGTAAAGACTGGATTGCTCATATTTTATACATACATTACTGGATTCAAAATATAAATCACCCACCAAGGTTCCTGCGAATTTTGGCAACATCTTGACCCGTAATCTGAAACGCCTTCTTCAAAACCTCGTCCGGCACGGCCGGTTTCGAGGCAAACATGGAAAGGGAAGCTATCTGTGCGCCCGGGCTCTGACTGCTGAGCCCGGACACAGCCATTGCGGGCTTCATAGGGTCCATATTGTACAGAAAATGAATCAATCCTCTTGGAAACACAAATGATTCGCCGACACGTAGTTGTTGCGTGTACATATGGCTAGAAGTATCGATAAAACCAACAAGAATCGAACCCTCGAGGCAAATGGTCACTTCCGAGGCCCGAGGGTGCGAGTGGGGTGGGACCACTCCGTTTACGGCCAGATCGACTCGGGCCATGCTTAGGCCCTGAGTGTTGAGGCCCGGTAGGTTTGCAATGGTGGTAAGAGTGACATTGAACCCGAATTGGTTCGCGGTGTTGCCGGGTTTGGACAATGCTGAGGTGGCAAAATGGGAAGGGAGTGCTAGTGACGGATTAATGCATGGTGCACCGTTGATGAAGATTGATCGGGGGTTGTTTCTGTCTGCGACGCAGTAGTCTTGCAGTGGGTCCGGGTCGGGTTTGACAATGGTTAGTAGAAGAGAGAGGAGAGTGAGGAAGAAGTGGAATGAGAAAGAACTGGTTTTCATGTTGTTGGATTTGTACTATGAAATAATAAAATCGAACACAAACAAGTTCTATATATATTGGAGAGTAATAGTAGGTTTCTTAATTATTAAGATCAAATCAATTTGTGGGGAAGTGATGGAGTAGCTTAAGAGCATTATAGGATTGAGAACCAAGCCAAGTTAGGGCCTTGAAGGGTGTGCTTGGATTTAGACTAAAAAAAGTAAAATATAGGAAATTGTGATCAAGTTTGCATAACAAGAATGTATTCAGTGTTCAATGCCACCAATAAATTGAGTGTTACAACGGTGTTATTTTGTTATTTTTTTTAAGATTGACCAAAATATTTATATTCGATTCAAAACGACCCAATAAATTTAACTCATTGCCATGGAGTGATTTGCATTGAATTTTGAGCAAATCCCATTATTTAGGCCTCCGAATCAAAAAATCGTGTTTGTTTGAAAAGATTTTAAATTCTTAATTTTAGAGTGTAAAGTGTGTGGGTGCTCAAAATTGGGCTGGATTGTCACTATATAATAAGAGTATACGTGTTATTTCAAATCTAATTCAATTCGATATCATGTCTAACCTCTCCATCTTAAACCCAATTCTAAAAGAATGTCTAAATCTCAATATCGCCCACTTAAACGAATATATATTAGCTCTTTATTTTATTTTATTTTTTGTGTTGAAAAATTATTAGACCCTTTTAATAATTATTTCAATTAGAATATAAAGGAAATTCAATTGTAAAATAAATATAACCTTTTTAGGAATGTTTTAATCTAAGGTCGAGAAAATATATATATTTTTTATTTTTTTATTTTATTTTATAACTAAACAATAAAAAAATAAAATTAATATTTTATAAATAGATGGGCCAAACTGGACTGGAGTAAAACTTTTTATCTCAAAGCCAACTTGAAAATTAAATGGACTAAAAATCTTTATCCGATTCAACCCTACAGATTAAGTATTTTTTCCAACATCTACAAGTATGGCACTGGCTGGGCAGGCCAGGTATGGCCATATTTTAGAATCTATAAAAGCTTAGAGCAATGGTAGAGGGCCCAAATTCTGTGGCTCAAATGTGGCTCAAATAGCCAAAACGACGTCGTTTTGAATACAAAACAACATCAAAATGGCCAAAACGACGTCGTTTTGGCCATTTGAGCCACATTTGAGCCACAGAATTAGGGCCCTCTACCATTGCTCTTCATCCCAAACATACAAGTTTTTTTTACCTACCTTTTTAGCCAAATAACCAAAAAGTTACTAAATTAGCCTGTTCCCAAACGAAGCCTAAGTATTTTTTCCAACATCTACAAGTATGGCACTGGCTGGGCAGGCCAGGTATGGCCATATTTTAGAATCTATAAAAGCTTATGTATTTAAATAAGTGTACTTTTTGACTTTTTATGAAATATGGGTTGGGTTTGGGTTGGATTTGAAGTGATGTGTTAGAGAAGTGATGTGACTTAAATAAGATGATGTGACTTAAATAGAATAATGACTTTTTGTCTTTTTTCGATCATGCCAAACTTAAAAAAATAGTTTTTTGTTATGAAGAAAGTTGTGTGCCTTTTCAAATTTTTTTTATTTTGTAAAGATAACTATATTACACTTACTTATTTATCAAGAATCTAACATTGTGCCGTTTTGGGAAGGGCCAAAAAAAAAGCCACGTTTTTTATCATTTTTAAAAACGCAACAAATTTGGTTTGAGAAGGGTCAAAAACGCAGGTGTGAAATTACAAATTAGGCCCTATGACAAAAAAATAAAAAAAATAAATTTCTTATCTAGGGTAAGGGTATTTTGGTCATTTTAATTTGATTTGACACCATAAATAAATATTAAACTAAAAAGTAAAAAGCCAGCTTTTTACCAATTTCCCAAATCACTTTCTAAAAAGCTAAAAAGCTTGGTAAAAAGTCAAAAATTAATTTTTTACCAACTTCTCAAAACACCTCAATTATTATTATTATTATTATTATAACAAAAAGCAACTTATTTTGCTATTGCAAAACAAAGGCTAAATAAATCTTTTTTGGAGTCACATTTTAAAGATACTTATTTTATATTATAGATTACAGATTAAGGGGTTGTTTGGGATGATCTAAATAATTTGTCAATGTGTCAATTTAGTGATTGGTCACCCAAAAAAGTATATATAACTTTATACTTTGTTTTGGATAAGAGATAAAATATAAATATAATGACAGTCATACTACAAATTCATACCCTCATAATTTTCAACCTATTGTTCACATTTATAATTCACTCATTAAATCATCACCATACACCTGCATTTTCGGACAAATCTGGTACCCATTTTCTGAGTTTCCAAATTAATGCATATAATGATATAGTTGAATATTCAATTACGAAAGAAAGTTTATGATTGATATTAAAAGAAAAAAGGCAATTTGAGTGGATCAATCTTAATTAGCATGATCGTGAAATGGCCTTAAAAGGGAAAAAAATGCAATTTGAGTGGATCGATCTTAATTAGCCTTGAATTGGTCAAAATATGCAAAAAATTTTGAGAATTTATTTTTTTAATCATTTTTAAATTTTTTTATAAGGTAAAAAAAGGTTAATGTATTTAAGAATATTTTTTTTTTAGTTGTATAGATAATTATGAATTACTAAAATATTTGTCTTTTTTAAATTGATTTTTTGACTTTTTTTTTGCATGAGACTATTGTAGTTAGAAAGTTAAGTTGTCAAACAAGTTTCAGGTATTGTTGGGTATAATTTATTATAAATTAGAAGTTGATAATTTCAAAAAGAAAAGTCAAAAGTATCTCTCCTCCGCTTTTAGAAAGTGAAGTTGTCAAACAGGTTTCAGGTGTTGTTTGGTATAATTTATTATAAATTAGAAGTTGATAATTTCAAAAATAAAAGTCAAAATATCTCCCATCAGCTTTTAAAAATTAATGGGTGTGTTTGGTTTAGCTTTGAGAGAGAAGTTTTGGAAAAAAAAATTTCAAAAAATTGTTTGATTTGAGATTTTTTTCAAAAAATTTTCAAATTCACTTTCTCTCTCTTACACATCAATCAATCATTTTTTCTTTCTCCTCTCTCATTCTCAATCACTTTTTCTTTCACATATATTTACTCAATTACAACAAAATATCAAATCATCTCAAACTCCCAAACTTCAAAACTACTTTCAAAATATATAACCAAACAAACTAAATAAATTTCTAAACTCTCTTCCCAAAACTTTTTTTGAAAATCATTCTCTCAAAAACAAACCAAACACACCCAATATTTTTAATTTATTTAAATTATTTATACCTAATAAACTATAAATAACCGAAAATTATATCAAACAATCTTATATAAACTTTAATAAAAAAAAGAACTATAAACAATTCAAATAACCTACACCAAACAAATGTTATGGTTGTCAAATGACCCTATTGATAAAACAATGATGGCCAGTAAGAACAGGCCACGGTGAGTAGTATATGATAAAAAAATTTATGAACCACATTGATAACAGGCCACTTGATTTGGACCTTGCAAGAGTTTGATGATCATAGTCCCCACTTGAGGAAATGTGGCCTCAAAACAAGCACCTACCAGATGATCTGGGCCACCCAAAGCTTCTACACCTAATGACATTGTCCAGTTAAAACATAAAATACGCCGTCGTTTCAAACTTCAAACGACATCGTTCTGTGTCTTCTATTGCATTTGCAAGGTCAGATCAATTAGTTCCAACTAATTAAATCCGTAGGGACCACACGTGTCCCCCGCTGCTTCCATTATTGATCTGTCACGTGCCATCTCTCTTTCTGTCTCTCTCACTTTCTCTCTATAAGCATACTACTTTTGCCATCGCCAGTGGAGTGGACCTGCCCGACCATCTCTACTTTCATGGCTGATCTGATCAATATCTTTGATGGGTCTCTCTCATCTTCATGAATGAGCAGTCCTTAGGTAACTAATCTATTAAAAAACCCAACCCTGTTTTTTTATTTTTATTTTAATTTTTTAAGATTTTCTTGCTTTGTTTCTGAAATTAGTCCTCAATGTTTTGTTGGATCTCCATAGCTCAACCAACTAATCTTTTTTTCTACAATCTGCTTGCTTTACTCTGTTCCATTTACACATTATCAATAACTCTCGCATAAACTACAAAAAGTTCAACTTTTTCCCCCTCTTTAGAAATAGTATTATCAGTAAAAAAAAGAATAATAAATTAAAGTACCTTTTGGAGTTATTAAGAATCCAACTTTTGTTTTTCTATCTCTTTTTCATAATGTTGTTTTTGTTTGATGATTGAGTTCATCCTTTTAGCAGTTTCCAGAAGTACCAGAAACTGACAAGGGTTTTCATGACTCTGAAAAAAAAAAAAATGTAGATAGTTGAATAAAGAAAAATGTTTGTTTTGGAATCAAAAAATAGATCTTTTGTTTTGAAACTAACAAAATAGAGAACATATCACATGGGTCGTCATTGGTTGCATTATTGTTAATCTTCTTTTTGTCTTCACTGTGATCTTCTTATCTTTGGTTACTTAGTCTGATTTAGTGGATTCATTCATTGCCCATGCTTGTACAGGCCATTGTGTGAAACATTGTGTGTTTTTATGATTCAACCTTGAGATTCAGTTTTAAGAGCATTAATGGGTGAATCAATTGTAGAAGCACCAGATGTTGAAAATAAGGTACACCCATTTGTCCTTTTGATCAGTAAAAATTGATCCAGTTGTTTAATTTCTTTCCAATTATTGTTTTCTTTTAGATTTATGGTTGATTCCAATCCATAATTGCAAAGTTTCAGTACTGTGTATGTTGTCGTGAGTTGTCACTTTGTTTCTTGCTTGGAAATTTGGATTGATTTTTGGATCTTGTGTTTATATAAACAGATGAGAGAGTCACTTGACTCTGGTGCTTCTTTGGAAGTATCAGTTTCGTTCGGTAGGTTTGAAAATGATTTGCTTTCTTGGGACAAATGGTCATCTTTTTCCCAAAATAAGTACTTGGAAGAAGTTGAGAAGTGTTCAACGCCCGGATCAGTAGCTCAGAAGAAGGCTTACTTTGAAGCTCATTACAAGAAAATCGCTGCTCGGAAGGCTGAACAACTGGATCAGGAAAAGCAAATGGAAACTAATCATTTCACTGAAGATGATCAAAATGGTAAAGATCATGTTGGTCAAAGCTATGTTGAAGGAGTTGAGCAAGTTACCAATTCAATTGGTGTCATGAGCGTCAGCCACTCTGATGAGTCCAATGACAATGAAGCAATCACTGAGTTTCAAAGCTCACCGGTCGATGGAGCTAAGGAAGAAATGAATGGCATACTGGATAGCCCTAAATTGAATAGATCAGAAGAAGCTGTTGTGGTTCGAGAGGACATTCATCTAAATGGATTTGAGGAGAAAGTGGAAGTGCCACCCTTTTCGGTTCAAGAGGATGCTCATCTAAATGGATTTGAGGATAAAGTGGGAGTGCCATCCTTTTCAGTTCAAGAGGATGCTCATCTAAATGAATTTGAGGATAAAGTGGAAGTGACGCCCTTTTCAGTTCAAGAGGACGCTCATCTAAATGAATTTGAGGATAAAGTGGAAGTGCCACCCTTTTCGGTTCAGGAGGACACTCATCGAAATGGATCACAGGACAAGGTGGAATCGCCAATGAACTTGGAGGAGACAGGAAACACACTTGAAAATAGAAAGGAAAATGCGAAATTGGATGCATCAAACAAATTTCGAAAGGTGAAGGTACTGAATTTGCTGACGAATAGTCGTTTAAAGAAAATTAGGATGGTAGAGATTCTGTAAGATTGGGTTTGGATCAAGGATTTGAGGAGAGATTTGTGGAGGGAAAGGAACTAAGAAGGGAAAGGAACTAAGAAGGGAAAAGTGAATGAAATAGAAACTAATTTTGTTGTCACATTCCCCTTCCTTTTTCTTTTCAAATCCCTTCTCAAATACTTGATCCAAACAACCCAATTGGTTTTATTCTACTATCTCACATTATTTCATGATATGTTATTTAGGTGACTCCCTCCAAAAAAGACAAGAGTTTAACGGGAACGAAGAAGAAACCAGCATCATCACCTTTACCCAAAAAATCTCCAGAGATTTCCACCCCAAAACCATCAAAACCGACATCAACCTCCACTTGGTCCTCAACAAAGAAGACAAACGGGTCATCATTACCGAGGAGCAAAAATCTTTCTTCAGGAGAAAGCAAGAAAGTATCTCCTTCATCCCTGCACATGTCTCTTAGTTTGGGTCCTTCAAATTCCGATTCAAACTCTCTTACCACAACTAGAAAGTCTCTCTTTATGGAGAAAATGGGGGACAAGGACATTGTTAAGCGAGCGTTTAAGACATTTCAAAACAATTTCAACCAAGTAAGAGCTTCTGATGATGGGAGATCTTTTGGACAAAAGGAGGTTGGTTATTATGTGACGTGTATTATTTGCTCATATAATTATGAGTATCTGCTTTTAAATTGTTAAGACACTGGCAATGAGTTTATAATCTTTTCCTTTTGTGGACTTTGATCAGATGTCAACTACAAGGCCAGAACAAAAGTTGTTCACTTCTTTGACTGCTCGGAAGGAGAACAGGGGGTAATCTGCAACCTAATTCTCTTTATTTGCAAATGAATTAGTGCTTGCGTATTGAATAGTTAAATATTTAATTCTTAGTGGTAAATGTTTAAAACCCTGAAATTATTCTCGTATGTGAAATGTTTAGGAAATTGAAATCTTTTATATTCATATTTCTCCTCTGTTTAAAACTTCAGAAGCTTGGTTAACTTCCTTATATATCTGTAATTTTTTTTTCTTTCTAATTTCAATTACATATTGAGATTTAACCAATGAAATCAATAGTTACTCATAAGTAATATGCTAAATGCAGATTATGAGCCCACAAATCCAGTGTAAAATTCAATGCTTTCGACTCAAATGTTTAATAGCTTCCTTTTATTTTTTAATTTTTCTTTTTGCACTGTCTGGATTCTGCTTACACATTATTATCACAGTGTTTGTTGGTGATTGAACATTGAAGATTTCTTTGCACCTGTAGATTCATAATTATGTTTGCAATCTCTTTGATGTAATTTAAAATATTTCATTATACTTCAGTATTTGACAATGTTAATTAATTTTAATGTCTTTGCAAGGATTAAATTGCCTTCAAAAAATTAATGTTGAATTGTGGTGCATATGTGTATGTTGTTATTTTTTTACATGTGTGAATTTTATGATGTCACATAGACAATATGCAGGCTTCCATAAGTGCATGTGTTTGGTTTTTTCAGTTACCTACCTGATTGACTTGTTTGAGCTTTAAATATGAATTATCTAATTTATTTGTAGAATAAGGAAGGCAGCAGAGAAGATGGATGCTCAAAGAGCTCAGTTGGGAAGAAGCTGGAATGCTACCTCAATCGGGTATGATGTTTGAGTTTGTTTCATTTGAAGGATTCAGATATCTCATTGTTTGTTAGAAAACGCCTTTATTGTTCTGGAGTCCAATGCTTAGTTGCAAGAAACTCCTACTGGAGTGACATTTTTTACTCAGAAACACAATTCTGTCTCAAGTAAGAAACTTGCTTCGTTTGAGGAAGAAACTCGCTCTCAACTGAGATAGAACCTTTCAAGCATAAAAATCTTAAAGAAACAAAAGAAAAACAATACGTTCTATTTACATAATATACATGGTAAATTACATTGACCTCCCCTAAGATTTGGGGAGAATACAATAAGTCCTATAATTTTGGTATAATTACACTGGGCTCCCATAAGGTTTTAATTCACATAACACTTAGCACCCTTTTCATTAATAATTTGTTAGTCATATAGCTGAAAAAAATGGTGATGCCATATCTTTTATACTGAAATGTATATTTTTCCTTGTTTATTATTGTGATTTCACACTATTTGCTTTAATTTCGGTCACTTTAGCCTTACTAAAAGGGAGGTCAATGTAATTATATCAAAACTATGGGTCTGCTTGTATTTTCTCTATACCTCAAGGGTGGTTAGTGTAGTTTACCCTAATATTTATTTATACTTAACAAATATAATTTGTAATTGACATCAATCTACAATAATAATTTAAATTTTTAATACATATTTTACAACTCCAAACCAAACCAAGCCTTAAGTCCCATCAAATGGGGTCGGCTACATGAATTACATATTTCACAACTAAGCAAAAAAAAAAAAAAATACTTGTTAGAATGTATTTATATATAAATATACACGTTCCCATTTGCACTCCCAACCTTAGAAACTTCTATATGCCCTTGCTCACCCGCCCCGCTCCCGTCTCGTCTCCGCCCTCGTTTCGTGCAACTAAGGTCTACTGTACTGGTTTTGATCTACATGTTTTTCTGCTTTTGTCTAATTTTTTCTTGCATTCAATGTTCTTCTTTCTCTCCCTGCTGTACATGTCGTCTCTTTAAGTAGAATTGAAGTTATCATCGTATTTGCACGTGACTAAATATTTTCAATGTGTAGATTTTACAATTTTTTCACTGACAGTTAAAATAAATAAAAGTTTTTCAAACAGTAAAAAAGTGATTTTGTTAGACAATTTTGGAATTAAAAAAAAGCATTACCGAACTACACTTTGCCTTTCACACCAAACTGAATTTTTTCATTTATTTTATATAATGAATATATGTATAGATATAGTACACAATTAAATTGAACTAGTATTATACTAACTGAAGATGGCCAAACTGGAACCTGCCGTAACTTGAGTCTCAATGTTAGCATGAACCCATTTATGACAATCCACAACCCCTCTGTCTCTCTCTTTCTTTCTCTCAGCAATACTTGATCAACCTGACCATTTTCATCCACATTCAACCAGGCAAAATACAGAATTACCTCGTTTATTTATCCACCTAGTTTTAATATTATCAGTGTTCATAAAATTAGAAATATACCTTATTTGATGCTTCCAAATTGTAAACCATAAATAATAGCAGAAGACAGTTTTGTTCATGTAGCTTGTTAGCTAGAATTTGTTTACAAATGCTTGTGATTAACTAGTTAATTTGGAAGTGCTGTCAAGTCTTGTTGAGAATATAATATAAATAATAAAGTTGCCCCTCTCTCTAATAGCTTAAGCTTTTAGATGAGTTGGTGGTCAACAATTTAATAAGTCTTTCCCCTGAAAGTACAATCTTAATGGTTTACTTAGAACAGGTCATTGAAAGGATCTGGTATGGATCAAAGGAGTGCAAAGCCTGCCCCATCTACTTTTGGGTTGAGAAGTGATGAAAGAAATGAAAATCGAAAAGGACCGGGCATGGATCGAAAGAGTGCAAAGCCTGCCCCATCTTCTATTGGCTCGAGAAGTGATGAAAGAGCTGAAAAGCGAAAGGAGGTATGCATTGACTACCCATCCTTCCTCTCTCCTATTATCTTTTCTAACATCTTGTAGATGTGATTGTGGCCTCTGTTAATCATATGTATATTATGTGTATTTAACTTTATTTTTCTTATAAATATTTTAGTTTTTCAAGAAACTGCAGGAAAAATCATATGCTAAGGAGGCAGAAAAAACAGACCTTTGTTCAAAGTCAAAGGTACACTTTCAGTCATGTATATAGTTTTCCATTAAGACCGTGATGGCTCAACCTATTTATTAATCATGTATGGCTGTTCAAGTATCTCTACTGTTTTTCACACCCATATTGTATCTGAACACCTTATACTTGACATAGGAGGAAAAAGAGGTGGCTGATATTAAAAAACTACGACAGAGACTCAATTTCAGAGCCACCCCTATGCCAGGTTTTTATCGGGGGCATGCGACATCAAAGAGCCCTTTAGATAAGGTATATCTTAATTCTAGTTTCTTTTTCTGACCATAAATTTGAAATTCCTTTTTTAACGAAGGTTGATTGAGACTAATTTGTTTTGAGAGATATATCTTCATATATGAATTTTTATAGTGGAAAATATAGACAAACACATTGCACCTACCATGAGATGTCATTAGGAAGAAATATGGACTTTCCTTTTTATTTTGGTGAGGACAATATAGTAGTGTGTTCTTACCAACATTTTCTCATGATGGTGGTTGGAAATGGTGGGGGCCAAACAAACTATATATCCTTCACTCATCAATTCAAATGCTTTCTAGAAAGTTTCTTTGTGCAATTATAATATTAGGGAATGGCTGAAGTTTCTGTAGATATCAACTACTATTAGTGTTAGGCAAGTTATTGTTGGTGGGAGAGGATGGTTGTCTTCTTTGTGTAAAACGGAAAATGATTGCTTATCAAGTGGGCATGGATTGAGTCATAGTAAACGCTAAACATGATATTTTTTAATGAGTTAAGCATTTCTTTGTTGTTGAGATTGATGTGCTTTTTGTCCATTTTGGAGTCTTGCACATTACAAGTCAAGCAAACATTGGCCTTGTTGATGGTCATATAAGCAGGGTCTTTTGAGAACACTGCAGTTTCTTAGCATGGTTATCAAAATCATGATCCGGATCGTAGGATTGTATGATCCCAAATTGCCAAAATGATCCAAATCATTGTAAAAATTGGTAATATAGCAGGATTGCATGTAGGATTGTGTAGGATCTTATGGGATTGGTAGGATTGCAACTAGGATCTTTGGGTTGGTGATTTTTCATATTATTTTTTTAATATGTATCATCCTTATTAGTATTTTTATCTTAATTATGTTTGGAGAAAGTAGAATCTTTAAATTCTCGAGTTGATCATACAATCCGATCCATGAGACTCTTGCCGATTCCTCGTAGGATTCTGATTTTAGCAACCATGTTTCTTAGCATGTGTATGAGAGCAATGTTTGGAAGAATGGGTTCTGATTGACTTCAACTTGACATAAATGCGTAAATATTTTAAATGATGCCTCACTTCTATAAATTATGACAATTTTACAGAAATGAATTACAATGCCGAAACTGGCTATAACTAGATGCAAGAGTGTGGTAGGGAAAATGCTCTTTTTTATGCTTTTAATCACCATTCTTGCACAAATCTGTCTTTATAAACCATAAGTAAAAGCTTTTGATAGCGTTGTTTCATGAGATTATTAAGGTAATGGTCAGTCAACTGTAGTATTATTAACGTAATGGTCAGTCAACTGTAGTATTTATCCAAAAAAAAAAAAATGGTCAGTCAACTGTAGCACTCTCTCATCCTTTTGGACTATTAGTTTGTTTGTACCTAGAAATGCTTTATAAACATAACTTAGGCCATTTCCCTTTCATGGGATGTTAAGGATGTCCTTTGGATTCTTGGAAGATTAAGATCCCTTTATGTTTTGGTGACTTGGGGTGAAATAACATACCCGAAGCCTTTTAGCACTTTGTAAACTCCAGGTTTGAGCCTCCTGGATGTCAAGTTAATTGGAAAATTGTGAAATTGCTTTTGTAAGTAATTCAGATTGGTATATGTTTGCAACAATCATAACAAAGGGGAAAAGAAAAGCAAAGATTGATTATATGTTCTGGCTTTTCTATTTTTTTGTAGCGTAAATTACACCAACCTCCCTTGAGATTTTGAGAAAATACATCGAGTCCCCACAAGTTTCACATAATTACATTGAGTTACCTTAATATTTGAATTTACATAATACTTACTAAGCTCTCTTTTGTGAATAATTTGTTAGCCATATAGATGAAAAAATGATACTGCCATCTCTTTTACCATTGTTTATCTCTATGTCTACAAATCATCTGTATTTGTTTCAGTCATTTTAGCCTTAATAAAAAGAAAGTTGGTGTAGTTATGCCAAACTTGTGGGGTTTGTTGTATTTTTTGTAGGTCTTAGAAGCAATGCCAGTAATTTACCATTTATTTATTTATTTATTTATTTATTTATTTTTTTGTGTTACTTTTTCATGTTTCCTCTCTACTTGTAGGAGGGTGCCAAGAACGAACGCCATCATCGACCAGAAAGGCACAGGTGAAAGATTTATCTGCAGCTAACTACCCAAGTCAGATGAATTCGTGATCCTTTATCAAAGATTGGAATAATGTGGGAGGCAGAGCAAACTTTGGAGAAGAAACACATGAGTGGAAAAGGTGAGGAGGAGGCATGTATAGAAGAAGAAATTACTTTAGTAAGGACCTATCACGTAATACAAATGCTTAGCCAACAGAAACACCATTAATGAGTAAGAGGATGTATCTCTGAGCAGAGAACCAAAAACCTGTATGGGCCATCATGTCATTTGGTGCGTCGGTTTATCCATCTATTATGAGCGGGAGATAAAGAAGAGATTGAGGCTCTTTGCCATCTTTATATTGATAATCTCTTCCTTCCCTCTGAATTGCCGTATTATATATACATATGGAAAAGGAAGTGTTAAAAGAGTAGAGTTTATGGAATTTATAGACAGTTTGTCCAACTATGTGAAGAACATGAAGTTCTGTAATTTGCATCTTGATATATATAATTGTTAGCTGCAGACATTATGTGGTTATTAATGTATATTTAAAATTACTTTTTTGGTCCTGCTTATTCTTGCACCATTGCACAAACCTTGGTTATCCAACTATGATGTATTGTATACTATAGTTTTGAGTAAATTTGATACCAAAATTTGATAAAGTTCTGTTGTGTCATGAGACACACTATGCTTCTCTGTCTATATATATAGGGGTATATATAAAACCTTTAGAATTTTCTGGTTTTTATCCTACTCTATCCATGGGAAATGTTTTGTTGCTTCCTCATTGATATTGTTTTTCATTTTGATGTTTTGTTATTTTTTAAAATCTTAAGTTTTTGTTTTCACGAACGAAAACAATTGAAATCCATTTTTTTTTTTTTAATTTTTATAATTGTGAAAATAGTTTTTGAAAATGCAGAAAACAACTTTAAAACTTTGCCTAAAAATGGGTATTTTCAAAATATTTTCACAAAAATGATTTGTCAAATAATTTTTTTCAAGTCAGTTATGTTTTGAGAACAAAAGTTGAAAACAAAAACAAAAATGGCATTTATTGAACCAAAGTAAATTAGATAGATAGTATTGATCCAGTGGCATTTATTGAAACATCCCTATCAACAGACCACCCCTCACTGACAAAAGGTCGGGGGTTCAACTATAACTAGATGCAAGAGTGTGGTGACATTAGTAAAAAAAGTTAAATTATTTTTTATCTATTCAATCAGTCACTCATTGTAATTTTTACTTAGTGGTCCCCCTTCCCTACCCTTGAGGAGTAGGCTAAATATGTACATTATATTTTGATCTTAAATTTTTTTTTTTAAAAAAATTGAACCATCCTGGTGGTCCTATACACTTGTGTTTTACATATTAAGAAAAAAAAAAGAGAAGAAGATCTGAACCTTGCAAAACAATGCCTTGGTGTTTAAAGTTATTTACAAGAAAATTTTCAGCACATATACAATTCATTACATTTCTATGAAAAAAATAAAAAAAAATTTGTAAGACGAAAAACTCTCCTCCTTTGTAGCAGTTCATCACACTTCAATTGTTTCTTTCCAAGGAAAATTCTAGCCAACAAAAGAGAAGATGAAATAGTACTACTAACATTTTCAAAAGAATTAACATATTTGAATCACTGAAGTCACGTTAATTAGGTACCTAGCATTATATGTTCATCTACCTTTACTGCATTTGAGGCCTCTTTAGAAATCATCATCTGATTCACTAGAACTGCTCTTCGACTTGTCCGACATGAAATTTTCCGGCAATCTTGGGAATTTAACCGCATTCCTACTTTCCGGGGACTTTGGTGACGATGTTGATCCCGCATTTGTTTTTGTTGTTGTCTTCCTCTTTTGCAGATTTCTCGCGATATCAATGCAAGCTTGATCAACCATGCCCAAGAAATCTTTGACAATGATAAATAGTTGAAGTGGGTTTTTTTCCTTATCCTTAGAAGCCCCTGCTTGATAGTACTCTGTTGTTCTCTTCACAAGCTCCATCACTTTTGTTTGCTCTTGTTTTACTACTTCAACTTCTTGTCCTGCAACTTGAAGAAAACTTTTCATCTCCCTTACAAATCCTCCTTCACTGTCCCCGCATCGTGTCAAAACTTGTCGAATTTCATCAATGTGGGCTGTTAGAACCGAGCACGTTTTAACCAATGCATCGTAGTCCATTGTGGCTGCTTTCTTTACATTCGAAAACTCAGAACTAAGTCCCCCTACTACTGGTAACCCGAGTTTCGTATATTCCCTCTCTTTATCATCTTTTGATGTCAAATTGTCAGAGTTTCGAGCAGTGTCATTGTTGCTACGGCTACTGTTGCGACTTAAGCTGCGATTTTTATTGAGAACACAACGTTTACCCTCAGCTCGGACTACTTCTTCCACGACAAAGTGTAGTAATGTGGTTTTTCCGTCTATGCTTTTGACATCAGAGAGCTTTCGAAGAGTGGTGAGGCTGAAAGCTTGTGCATTTCCTCTTGAAGTTCCAGCATTCATTCGATTGCCGGCCTTGAGGATGGCTTCTAGAAGTTTCAAGAAGAGCCCGCGTGTCCGGAGCTCCTTGCATGCCAAATCAAGTGTTTGTAAAGTTTCCTTTAGGTGGAGAATCTCTGAATTGTAATTGGATCGGAAAAGCATGGCATTGAAGCGAGTGAAAGCCGATGGAACAGCGCCGAGGAGGTGGTAGAGGAAGGATTCAGCATCAGCTAGTCTTGTTGGGTCTCCATCAAATGCAAGGATTTCAGATTCTTCTTCTTTGGTTGGGGCTATTTTTGTGAGTTTCTCAAGTGTGTCGCTATCTAGACCTTGGCCTTCGATGAGCGAGTCAATGACTTCATTGCGAGAAATGGCTAACGATCTTAGCACAATTGCCGTGTTTTGGGACTTCCTTGCATCGAGTATGAAAACCCGAGAGCGTGGATTTGACTTTTCGCTTTTTGGACTTGATGAGCTGCTGTTTGCTTTAGGGGATTGCCGGGCAGATGCAACATTTCCGAAGAGCGCTTCCATTAGATCATCGTCAAATCTGGATTGCCAATCGAAGAGTCTTTAAAAAGTCAGAACCACCAAAAACACAAAAATCTAGCATTAAAATTTTGATAAATGACTGATTGTTACCTGAAGGAACCACCATCAATTTTGTGCCACACCATTGAATGATCAACATTAGGATTCACCTTGTCCCAGTGCAGGGGCTTAAGTTTAACCTGACCGTTCCCATCACCTGTCGAGCCTTCTCTAGACAAAGACTCGCTTTGTTTGTTGCTGCTTGGGATTCCTTTTGGCGGTGGCAGTGGTTTGGATGATGAAGCGAGACCGGGCGCTTTAGGTGGTGGAGGTGGTGGTGCAGGACCTTTTTTAGCTGGGATTGATGGAGGAGGAGGAGGAGGTGGCGCCGGACGTTGCCTATTTGGAATAGCCAATATAGATGCCACAGGCGGTGGTGGTGGTGGTGCGGGACTACGTGTATTTGGAATAACAAATACAGATTCCATAGGTGGTGGTGGCGGCGCAGGACTACGCGTATTTGGAATTGCAAATACAGATTCCACAGGAGGAGGTGGTGGTGGTGGTGGTGGTGCAGGACTACGTGTATTTGGAATAGCAAATACAGATTCCACAGGAGGAGGTGGTGGTGGTGGTGCAGGACTACGCGTATTTGGAATAGCAAATACAGATTCCACAAGAGGAGGTGGTGGTGGTGGTGGTGGTGCAGGACTACGCGTATTTGGAATAGCAAATACAGATTCCACAGGAGGTGGTGGTGGTGGTGGTGCAGGACTACGCGTATTTGGAATAGCAAATACAGATTCCACAGATAGTGGTGGCGGTGCAGGACTACGCATATTTGGAATAGCAAATACAGATTCCACAGGTGGTGGTGGTGGTGGTGGTGCAGGACTACCCGTATTTGGAATAGCAAATACAGATTCCACAGGAGGTGGTGGTGGTCGTGGTGCAGGACTACGCGTATTTGGAATAGCGAATACAGATGCCAGGGGCCGTGGTGGTGGAATTGAGTAGCCTTGTGAAGTTGAAGACTTGACACGGAGCAGAGGAATTTCATGTACAAGATTTTCAGCTTTATTATCTTGCCTTTCACTTTTGCTACTCATTTTTTTCTCTTCCTCCTTGGAATTGCCATTAAATACCTCTTTTCTGAAACTTTTCTTTCTTTTACCCCCTTGTAGATTCCTCCAATAAAGCACATCCAAACCATCCTCATCGATAATTACCCCTCTCACATTCCCATCAAATCGCGTAAATTCATTAGGAGCCACTGTTGGATCGCTCCTCCTCCGGCTATAATAAGGAACACTAGTATTATTACCATTACCATTCTCTTTCCTTTTCTGTGAGTACTTCTGAAGCACCAAGAAGAAGAACAAGGATAGGACTAAAGTGCTTGCCGCGGTTGCAACAACCGCCTTAACAACAGTCCCTTTTGAAGACGACTTACCTCGTTGTGGTGGTGATGGTGGCGGTGGCAGCGGTGGTGGCGGCGGCGGCCGTGGTGTAGGAACTGAAATTCGAAATGGGTAAACGGTCTGAATGTTTCGTGGTGAATCCAATTGACAAAAAAAGGAAGGAACAACGGAGACGAACACGAGGAACTGGAAGAGAACTATCCATGGATAAAATTTTGAAGCCATGGATTTTTTGATAGAATTGGAGAGAGAGAGAGAGAGAGAGAGATAATATTGAATCATTTGATTCAGTTGTTACTTTTGTTGTTGAATGGTGGTTTGGTTGTTGACATTTTCAAAGGAGGAGTGGTTAGTTGTTTGTTTCCTGGATTTTGCCCGGGCTTTCAAATTTGAAATTACTGTAATATCCTTGGATACTAATAATTTATAGTTGACTAATAAGGGTGTTTTAGAACTTTACTTGTGTTTTTGAATATAGTATTCCCATTATTTGCTTTAAAATATAATTTGTGGTTTGCTATATATTGAATCATTTGATTCAGTTGTTACTTTTGTTGTTGAATGGTGGTTTGGTTGTTGACATTTTCAAAGGAGGAGTGGTTAGTTGTTTCGTTTCCTGGATTTTGCCCGGGCTTTCAAATTTGAAATTACTGTAATATCCTTGGATACTAATAATTTATAGTTGACTAATAAGGGTGTTTTAGAACTTTACTTGTGTTTTTGAATATAGTATTCCCATTATTTGCTTTAAAATATAATTTGTGGTTTGCTATGTCCTGACGCCAAGCTCAATCGTCATTGAAACTAAGTTGAATTAGTATATGTTGCATATTTTTAATGTTTCAAACTACTATATTTTTTAGAGTATTGGGATAAGTTCGCAACTAAGAAGGATTAGTTAGAAGAAGACTTTATCAATTTTTTTATCCTCCATTTAACATTGAAAAAAATAATAAAAAAAATATTTCACAACAGTAAGACTTATCCTTATCCTTTTTGATAAGGTAAATTCGAATTATAAAAATAAAAGAAAATTACAAGTTAGTCCATTTAACTAAAAATATTTACAAAATCATGCATGTGCTACTCTTTTCTGTGTAAAAAAAACAGCAAGAGCTGCATTCTCCCCACCTTTCATGGAATAGTAATTTCACATTAAGATGGTCTCTCCAAATAATGGAGTAAAAGGGTAACGCTAGGGATTTCAAATTTTTTATCAAATAAATGACCAAATGTCTTATATGACACCCATGTGAAACATTTGATCATTTGTTTGGTAGAAAATTGGAGGATAACATTTTCGTGTAAGATAACAAAGATAACAAACTCTACCATTCTAATATGGCTACGTGTTTCAACTTAATTATGTAACCACCACATATATAGTGAGATCTACTCTCCTTGGTTTAATTTTCAAAAACTAGTTCGCTAAAAATAAAAAATTAAAAAAACTCACTATTTATACGACTTTCTCTTTTTTGAATAGAAATTATTTTAAAAATCCAAAAATATATTTTTAGTAGTATTTATTTTTGTCAAATTAATTTTTAATTTTTCAAAATAAATTATATAAATAAATAAAAAGCAAGTTGAGAACTCAACCTAACAAAATATGTCTATATGTTAATTTGTTATTAGATAATAAAACTACATGTCAATAATGAGATAATATTAGATAATTTTTCGATTAAAATATGAAAAAAATTACTAAAAATAATAAAAAAAATTATTATAAAAAAACCTTAAAAATTGTATGTTAAATTAAAAATCAAACATGTTTTTTAGTTGAGGGGTAAAGTGATATTAAGTGATAGTCCAAGGGGATAAAGTGTCATTTGGTAGTTGTTTGGAGTGCTATTTAAGTGCATTTTTTGACTTTTTGATTAAAAAAGTAGAGAAAAAAAGATGTATGTTTGGAATAATTTTTTGACTTTTTACAAAAAGATGTGTAATAAAATATTGTAGTAAAATTAAAATAACCATTTTACCCTTTTGACTTTTGGGTAGTTAAATTCAAAAGGCAAAATAATAATTTTGCCGTAGTGGCTTCCCCTACAAGCTACCCTTGAATAGTATAGATTTTTTAATTTTTTTAGTAATTTTTTGACTTTTTGACTGTTTTAGTTTATCCCAGACAAGGCCTTAGTTCAATAGTTAAATGGATATTTTTCTCATTAAGGTTTAAATTGAAAAATAAAAAATAAATAAATAAATAAAGAGGATTGAGTGTCACAATCTTTATTTAAAGAGAGAAAAATGATATAAGACAATAGTTTAGGGGTACAATGTAATTTGCTCATGATATTACCATTATTATTGTTTTTTAGAGGAGTGAAAGATTGTACTTTGTACATTTCTTCCTGACCCCAAGAAGAAGTATTGTGCAATGAATATTGTATTATTATTTGTTTTAAATCATATTGTTACAAATGGAAGATGGAATCTAGAAGAGTATGTTTGACAATACAAGAAGAAAGTGCTGATAACCTAATTGTTGTGCAGTGGTTGAAAAAGGCAACTGCTAACCCCATTGAGAAATTCCTTTCTGCCATTTGTAAGTGTGCAAATGGTCAAAGTATAAGACAAACTCTCCACAACTTGTAATGTAGTGGTTGGTTTCTTTGGTACTCTAGGGTCTATTCATCAAAATCATCAGTGTATTTTTTTTTAAAGAAAAATGTTAAATATACAAGAATTTTATATAAATAAAAATCTATATAAGGTCATTTTTGTAATTATGAACATAGTGATAGAATTTTTTATTTCTAATGGATAAATACAAATGAGAAATTATATAGAAATCTACTTTTTAAATCAAATTTTAAAACTCAGTGATGTATAAAAGAGATAACAGAAGTGATTGGTAGCTCGAAAGAGAGGCCCCTGAATCCCCTTGAATTCAAAAATGACGTCGTTTCGTCGTTTAGATTTTTTTTTTTTTTTCAGAAGAAGAAAATCAGAAGAAGGAGAAGAAAAAGAAGAAGGAGAAGAAGAAGAACTGGAGGGGCCAACAAAATCGGGCTGGAGGTGAAGGAGGAGGCGGGGGGCGGGGGCGGAGGCAGAGGCAGGAGGCGGAAGCGGAGGCAGAGGCGAGGGCTGCGAGGCAGAGGCGGAGGCGACGGCGGGGCTGCGATGAGCTGCGACGAGGCGACGGCGAATGGAGGGCTGTCACAGCTGCCATCTCCTCATCTTTCCCTCTCTTTTCTTTCTCTCTCTCTTTCTCTTTCTCTTCTAAATTTCGGGCTGTTCGGGGGGACAAATTTGTGGGGAAAAATCATTTTTCAAGAGATAATTGATTGATATTAGAAAAGAAATAAAGTTATCTAGATATTCTAATAAAATATATATTATCTGTGTGAGTGATTTTCCGATCATACTACCCAACTCAGTATTCAGTTGGAGAGCACTGGCAGAATAGATGACACTTGGCTGACCTGCAACAGAAAGATAAGATTCCGGCGGTGGTTCGTCCACCCGGGGGCACTCCGACGATCAAGTCAGTATATCTCTCAAAGATAATCAATAGTGCTAAACTTACTGTTCAGAATATAAATTGCGTACCTTAGACCCATGGGATACCTCTCTTTTATAGCAAACTCAATCCTAGTCCCAATAGAAGCCTAGCTTCAATGAACTCTTGCTCAGTGCTTATCCTGGACTCTCTAAGAGATAAAGATAAACTTCCTAAGAGCTTTATCCTTATCCATGTTAAAGTCCTTCCTCATTCTAGGACTCTTGTCCCTTACTCGCTTATCCTGGATTCCGATATCTACGGAGATAACCTCGGCCAAGCCGAGATCACCTCAGCGTCATAACCTGGACACGTGGCACCTCGGCTGACAAGTCAGCGTCACCTTGGCCACGTGTTGGGACTCAGAAAATATATCCCAACAACTGCCCCCTAGGTTCTATTACCTCGGCATTTTGAGCGGCATTCTGAGGTGATGGAACCTATATTGGTACTTTCAGCCAGTACATCGGCTTCAGCCGAGATTATCACTATAGGACGACATGCCTCCTTAAGGTTTTTAAAAGTTTCCAAGATCTCCTTTACGCGTATGAGCTGTCATACATCACAATTCAACCATTCTAGCCACGTGTCCTTCCCTCACTTGATCGTACTTGGTACGCGTTTCTAAATCATCTCACGCTTGCGTGCACCGTCTGACGCTCACGTTATTTTAGGTGCATTAATTCTGCTTTGTCGCCGTTTCAAGTTTTAACAAAACTTTTTCCTCCTTTCCTTATTTTCTCACTTTTCTTCATCGTCTCTGAAGCTTTCTCTCTCTAGCTTTTTCTTCCAAACCCTCCATTGCTCAAGCTTCTAAAGCTCTGCAACTCGCTCCGTCCACCTCCTCCGACAAGGTTCTTGCTAATCCTTTCTCAGCTCCCGTTCGTCGGACTTCGGCGAACTCAACACCGGCTTCCTCTCTTCGGTAAGTTTACTGTTTCTCCTATTTTCAGTTTTTGATGTTCTTCATTACTCGTTGCCATTACTGCTTTGTTCAAACATTCGATTTGCGAATCATATATCTGAATGTGATTATTCTACGACTTTGTTCTTGCTCACGTCTTGAATGCACGCACTGTTCACAACTTTTTTGCACCTTTGTCATTGTTCTTGATTTCATACCCTTTGTAATTGCGATGTTCTTAATAGTCCATCTTTGTTCTTGAATCTGAATCATATTCTTGTTTCTGTTTGTTGTGTTTTTCCAGATTCTCGTCTTCCATCCTTGCTTCCATAGATCTAGGTTTTGGATTTGTCTGTAGAACCCACGAATTTTTAGGAAAAACTGAAACGATTCCCACATATTCTTAAGTTTTTGTCGAGGTCCCAATATCCCTCTAAAACACTTTCTTTTGAAATCCATCTTCTTCTCGTTAAGCCGACATCATGGGTATGTGGAAACATAGGGTAGACACCCTGAGTAAATTAGAGCATTTTAGGCAAAAGTTTGACATCCCGGCCGACGTCCATCTGAGGTTGGCTGGGGAAGACGACTCTATCATGCCCACAACTGACTCCATGCCCTTCTTTGTCGTAGCCTTTATTGAGTGCGGACTTCGGTTTCCACTCAACATCCTTTTCCGCGAGATAATCCACTACTATAAGTTGAACCCAATGCAACTTGCCATCAACTCCTACCGAGTTATTAATGGCATCATAGCCTTAGCCAAACAAGAAAATGCTAGGATCACTTTAGCCGATATCCAGTACTGCTACACCATGTGTGGCCTCAAAAGAGATACCGGCTACGTTTACTACCTCAAGCCAAGATCTACAGAGTACAAAATCGTAGCCGACCTCCCAAACTCCAACAAGAGAGCTGGAGATGACTACTTTATTACCTCGGGGAACTGGAAGTTCGCTCCAGATGAGAACCTC